GCTGTATAAATTGTTTACTGGAGACGAAGTGTCTTCCGTGGCATAAGTTGTGCTTTGCCTCATTTGATTCTGACTGGGATCCACCTAATACCTTAAAATGGTTGCAAAGAGGACTTGATTGAGGGAAAGGGAGGGGAAGGGAGGGGAAGGGAGAAAAGAGGGGGGGGGGGGGGGGGGGGGGGGGGGGGGGGGGGGGGGGGGGGGGGGGGGTGGGGGGGGGGGGGGGGGGGGGGGGGGGGGGGGGGGGGGGGGGGGGGGGGGGGAGCGGGGGGGGGGGGGGGGGGGGGGGGGGGGGGGGGGGGGGGGGCCCCGGGGGGGGGGGGGGGGGGGGGGGGCGGGGGGGGGGGGGGGGGTGGGTTGCTGGATGGAGGTTGCCAGAGGCAAAAGTGGCAGGACAGGGTGGGTTGTTGGGGTGGGGGGTGCACAGGGGAGAAGGTAGCTGGTCGGTGGGTGTTGGAGGGGGTGGCACTGGCTGGGGGAGGGGTGCCCTGGTCGCTCAGCGGCAGCTGAGCGCTCCGGGGGTGGCAGGGAGCCCGGCTTGGCCCACAAAGTGGGGGAAGAAGGCGCAGCTGCTAGCACTAAACCCTCCCCTTCCCTGCTCCACCGCCAGCTGCTCCCCCAGGGGGAGGGACTGGCTGCACCGCGGGCGGCCCCTCTGGAGCCAGGAGGTGGGCAGCAGCGGCAACCTTGTGCTCCTCTGTTTAAAAAAAAATATGGGGAGCACCGCTTTTTGGTGCCCCCAACCACTAGGTGCCCTAGGCAGCCGCCTAATCAGCCTGGTGGTTGCACCGGTCCTACCCGATAGACCCCCCGGAACTCCCTCGCCTACCCAACCCCTGCCCATTCCCCGTCCCCTGACCGCCCCCCCCCAGAACCTCCACCCCCTCCAACTGTGCCCTGCCCCTTATCCAACCCCTCCTCCCAGCCCCGGCCCGGCCCCCTGACCGTGCTGCTCAGGGCAGCGTGTATGGATGCCGCGCGGCCTGCTGGAGCTCACAACCCCACCCCCTTACCATGCTGCTCAAAATGTCAGGAGCTGCAGAGCGGCCCAGGAGTGGTCCAGAGCACTGGCGCCGGTGGCACGGCACGCTGAGGCTCTGCGAGAGGGGGGATGGCGGGGCAGGGGCCGTATAAATTGCTGTATAAATTGTTTACTGGAGACGAAGTGTCTTCCGTGGCATAAGTTGTGCTTTGCCTCATTTGATTCTGACTGGGATCCACCTAATACCTTAAAATGGTTGCAAAGAGGACTTGATTGTCAAACTTTACAGCTGTAATGAAGAACAAAGAACATCTGGTATGAAATGCATCACCTTGGAGCCAGTGACTGATTGTAGACCTTCTTGAAACCTTGGAAATATTATTTTAATTCTGAATTTTTTCTGTCACTTTCTGTGTACTTGGCTTCCGAGATGCATTGAAATGATTCTGTCATATCATAATATCATCCTTCTGGTTTTGCTTTCTGCTCCATTCCTCACTGACCAGCCAACTGAGACTAAAAGAAAATAAGTGGATGGAGAGCTTGAGTTTGGGTGACATTTAGGTAGCAGCTTATTATGGCTAAGAATATTAGGAAAGTTTTGGTGATAGGCAATGGATTGAAGTTAGGAGAAGTGATGACCCAGTAGGGGTCACTAGGAGTTATAGGTTTTGTAAAAATTAGTTATAAAAAGACTAGATAATAGAGTGTACTTTGGAACTGTTCTGTGAAGCTATCCTGCAAGACTTTTTCCCTGACGTCATATTCCCCAGTGGAGAAGTGTCCAGCCATTGCTGATCCGCTGCTAATTACTCGATACCGTCTCAGATTTGAGGTAATTATTTGGGATGTTCTAAACCTATTGCTTATGTCTGTGTGTGCTTAAATCTAATAAATGTTAGTTTTAGAGAAGAGCACGCTTACTAGCATCAAGTTTTCATCAGCTGGAAGTGCTGTGTTCCCATTGATTTATTCCTGTCACTGCCTGGAGTGAAACAGTTAAGTTACCACTGCTTTGGGTTCTGACAACCCTGGGTAACACCTAGCCACCATGGAAAGCAATACATATATGAAAAGATGGGAGTTGCCTTGCCAAGTGGGGGTCAGTGCTAACGAGGCCAATTCAATAAAGATGGAAGTGGCCTATTCCACTGTGATATATATACCAATGTCACATATGCCATCATGCCATCAGCAATGCCCCTCTTCCATGTACATTGGTGAAACCGGACAGTCTCTATGCAAAAGAATAAATGGACACAAATCAGACATCATGAATTGTAACATTCAAAAACTGGTAGGAGAGCACGTCAGTCTCTCTGGACACTCAGTAACAGACTTAAACGTGGCAATTCTTCAACAAAAAAACTTCAGAAACAGACTTCAACAAGAAACTGCAGAACTGGAATTAATTTGCAAACTGGACACCATCAAATTAGGCCTGAATAAAGACTGGAAGTGGATGGGTCACTAGAAAAAGTAATTTTCCCTCTGCTGATACTCACACCTTCTTGTCAATGGTTGGAAATGGACGACGTCCACCTTCATTGCATTGGCCTCGTTAGCACTACAAAAGTAATCAACTGTTGAGAATAGGCCACTTCCACCTTAATTGAATTGGCCTCGTTAGCACTGACCCCCCACTTGGTAAGGCAACTCCCATTTTTTCAAATATATACTGCTTACTGTGTTTTTCACTCCATGCATCTGATGAAGTGGGTTTTAGCCCACGACAGCTTATGCCCAAATAAATTTGTTCGTCTCAAAGGTGCCACAAGGACTCCTCGTTGTTTCAAAGAAGTGTGTTTCTCTTAATGAAGCCCCAGGGCAGGAGCACATGTAACAAGAAACCTAAGGTCATTAACTCCAGATCCAACTTTGGCTCCTGCAAAATAAAGTGCAAAGTTCCTGTGCCTGCCCATGCCAACCTTCCAGAGCTGGAGGGAGATCACCCCCTAGTACAGGCTGTTCCGCTTGTAGTCGCCTCCCCCTCCTCAGTTTCCTCTTGTTGTTTGAATGGTCACTAGGCTGGAGCAGGGAGTCCTCTTCATTGCACCCAGGCTGTTCTATTTGGGATCTCCAGGCTGACCCCTTAGAGGGGTCGTACACTCCTTCTCATACCTCCAACTTTGAGTGGCCCTATCAGTGCACTCATTGAATGTTCACAACTTCATCTGTTCTCCAGGGAAGCAGACCGGCTGTAATGCTAAGTACCATTGGGTGAGGCAGGCATTTCAGTCCTGCCTTGTCTGGAGCCAGCGCAGAGCTGCATTATCGGTGAGCAGGACAAATGGTGTTGCAAACAGGGAGTCCATCACTTGCCAGTGTCTGGGCAAAGATTCTTTTTTGAGGGCCATGAATTATGTCTCCTTCTCCAGGAACTGTGTATTGGAAGGTAAGATGGAATCAGTGGGGCGAAACTATGACCAGAGACGATGTGTGGGAGGAGGGAGGAGGGGGCCAAGTGCCCCCCAGATTGGCCTGGCGGGGCAGGGAGGGAGAGGGGCTCTGTCCTTCTCTCCCCGCGCTTCCCCCACTCGGCACATTCAGCCGCTCTCCCTGGCAGCCAGGTGGGAAGAGCGATGGAGCTGCTGTAGCCTGTGAGAGCCTGGCTGGGAGGCAGTGGTGGCCGGTTCCCTCCCTGGGCAGGAGGGAGGCTCTTGGGCCCTGTCCCCACAGCAGAGCGCGGGCAGGGGCTACCTGCTGCCGTCCCAGCTGCAGGGCATAGGGGATGAGTGAGCGAGAAACATGCCGGAGGGGAGAGGGGGCTCCTGCTCTTTCGGCCCCTGTCTCTGGCAGTTGGGACAGCAGTGGTCCTCTCCATGCCTGGGCCCTGGGAAAAGGGCCGAGGGAGGAGGAGCTCCCCTCCCCTTCCTGCACCTGTGTCCAGGCAGGGTGTGGACCGCAGCTGCTTCCCAGCCAGGCTCTCTCAGGCAGAAGCAGCTGTGTCCCTCTCCCCTTGCAGCTGCCAGGGAGAGCGGTGCAATGTGCTGGGGGTGGGGGGAGACACATATGGAGAGAAGGAGAGAACCCCCCTTTACCCATTCCATAGGTATCCTGGGGTGGGGAGAGTGCAGTGGCCCTGGGCTGGGTGCAGGGGTGCAGCACTGGGCATGGGAGACGTTACCTGAGGGGGGGACCTCTGTCCTACTCCCACTGTGCTGGAGACTTCTGAAGAGCAGGGCTCTCCAGAACCGCAGTGGCGGAAGGAGCAGAATGTGGGGCCGCTTGGTGGCCCCATGCCAGCCGTTCTGGAGTGGCTTTACCGACCCCAGCCCCACCCCCAGCCCTGTCCTCTGGCCGGGCTGCTGTACAGACCCCAGACAGGAGACTCAGGTGTGTGGAAGGGCTTGGAGCGGTACAGCCACGCTGGAGAAGCTGCCGACGTGGGGCTGTTCTGTGTCTTTGCAGTACAGCGTACTGGCTAGAATAAATATCTGACTGGTACGGAATACCGGACTTACCGCCGTACTTGCACCACTAGGAGAGACACTTATTTGGACTACAGTAACTCCTCACTTAACGTTGTAGTTATGTTCCTGAAAAATGCGACTTTAAGTGAAACGATGTTAAGCGAATCCAATTTCCCCATAAGAGTTAATGTAAGTGGGGAGAGGTTAGGTTCCAGGGAAATTTTTTTTTTGCCAGACAAAAGACTATATTATATATACACACATACACACAGTATAAGTTTCAAACAAAAAATTTAATAGTGTACACAGCAATGGAGATTGTGAAGCTTGGTTGAGGTGGTGAAATCAGAGGGTGGGATATTTCCTAGTGGATGCCTTCCTGCTAAATGATGAACTAGGTATTGGCTGAGCCCTCAAGGGTTATCTCGTTGTTAATGTAGCCTCACACTCTGCAAGGCAGCACGAATGAAGGGAGGGGAGACAGCATGACAGACAGATACAGAGACATACACCGTGTGTGTGTGTGCGTGTGTGTGTGTGTGTGTGAGAGAGAGAGAGATGTGCATTTCTGAAGAGTTCATGTTTAGCTATTCCACCTGGAAGCAGGCGGGGCACACCCTGACTGTTTTGTAGAAGCAATGCACACATTGCTCTATCCAAGGACAAGGGCTAGATATGAACCATGAGAACTTGATTGTTTGGACAGTAACTGTGGGAGGCTTTCTTAGCCTGGGCTCAAGGCCTGAGAACCAGGATTGTAGTAGATAAAGGATGGTAACTAAGTATATTAATCAACGTCATACATTCCTTTGTGTAGCAGTGTGTAATGCTTAGGGGGAGAAATATAATAAAAGGGGAAGGTGGAAGGCGGGGGGGCAGAACAGCCCATCTCCGCTGACCAGCCTGCTTGCTTGCATAAAGCTGTGTTCTGTCTCATGATTGAACCGTAACAACTGGCGCCCAAACGTGGGGCCCTCAGCACTCACCTCGCCCGGCAAGGGTTTCAGACGCGTCACTCATCCGCTTCGTGGATCCCGGTGAGTATTTTTCATTGTGGTAAGTATGGGAAGCTCCCTCTCTGCTTTGCAAGTGCAACACCGCAATGAGCTGCAGTATTTGCTGCGTAAGGCTCAGCATGACTGCCCGGCTCGAGCACTTACTCTCCTGCTACAGGAGGTGCGTGCCCAGTGCCTGTGGTATCCTGAAGCCGGAAGCCTTAAGCTAGCGGACTGGGAGCGATTGGGCCAGACATTGCATGAAGAGCCTCGGGCGCCCGTGCAGACTTTACATGCCTGGCATCTCTGTCGCGACGCGATACAGCGTGTCACCTCGGATAGGCCCTCTTTCACGAGGCTGGTGATCTCGCCACGCCCGTCAGCTCCTGTAGCCATCCCCGTTGCAGCTCTCCCCCCTTCTACTGATGCAACCCAGCGTGTCGCTTCGGAAAGACCCTCTCCCGTACCCACAGCCCCCCCTCTCCCTGCTTTGCCCCCAGTGTCTTCATTATCACCGCCTCCCTTGCCTTCCCCACCGGAGCCAGTGCGTGATCACCCTCCCTCCGTGGGGCCCCATGCTCCGGGGCCCCCCGGAGGGTCATCTGCATCTGCTCAGAAGCTTTCGCTGGTGCAACAAATGGTTCACGCAGCGAAAGCTCGATCAGATCTTACAGCGGAGGAGCTGGCTGATCTGGTCTCAGTTTGCCCGGTGACCTGGCAGAATGATGACCAGGGCAACCCCGTGGGCACCTGGACCACTTTGCCATACTCGGTGGTTAGAGAGGTAAAGAAAGCAATTCGTGAGTTTGGCCTGACTAGCACCTTTGTGCGTGGTCTCGTTGAAGGGATAGGTACTGGGTACTCCCTAATCCCTGAGGATTGGAAAACGCTGTTGCGCATGATGTTATCACCCAGTCAGTATGTTATTTGGCTTAGTGAGTATTGGCAGATGGCAGAACGCCAAGCTCAGGTACATAGAGAGCACGGTATCATTTATGAGCATTTGGCAGGGGAGGGCCCGTTTGCTACTATTGAGATGCAGTCTCAACTCCCTCAGGCCGTCTTCCCCATTATTTCCACCTGTGCCCAGCATGCTTTCAAGAAGGTCCCGGATTCAGGCAAGCCTACCAAAAGCTTTGTCAGTATCCGTCAGGGTGCCTCAGAGTCCTTTTTGGATTTTACCAACAGATTGCATGAGGCTATCCTCCGACAGGTGGATAACACTGAGGCAGCTCACGAGCTCCTGTTAAAATTGGCAGTTGAAAATGCAAACGAGGATTGCCGCCGTGCTCTCCAGGCAGCACAAGCCTCTGGTATTTTAGAGCTCTCAGACATGCTGCGGGCGTGCCAGAACATTGGCACACAAGCCCACAAGGCTGGAGTTCTGGCTGCCGCCCTCAGAAAAACTGGGAAGGAGGGGAAGCGTTGTTACCGCTGTGGTAAGGAGGGTCATTTTCAGCGGGAGTGCCACTCATCTAAAGCACCAGCCCGACCCTCAAAGAAGTGCCCCAAGTGTGGGAAAGGTTATCACTGGGCTAATCAGTGTCGTAGTGGGTCGGGAAACCGCGCGACGGGTCCCCCCCGAACCCAGGGCCAAACGGGGGTGTTTCCCACTCAGACAACCGCTCCTCTGCCTTAAAATCCATAGACTCTATGAGGGCGGCGACTGCTGGAAGTGCAGGGCTTGATTTGATCATGCAGGAGGACACTGACTTTCGGCTGCCAGGGGAGGTCTGTGCCATACCTACACAGGTGACGGGACCTCTCCCTGCCGGCTTTGTAGGTCTTGTTCTCCCTCGCTCACATGCTGGGAAACAGGGTTTTTTTGTCATTCCAGGGGTCATTGATGCTGATTACACTGGCATTATTAAGGTTCAGGTGTGGACTCATCTTCCACAGTCGCTCCCGCGTGGACGGTCAATTGCACAATTGATTTTAGTCCCCTATCAGGTGCCAGCTGCCGAGGATTGAACTCGGGGCGGAGGCGGCTTTGGATCGACGTTGTCTCACTCGCCGTCTCACAGCGCGTCTTCTCCACTTGTTGCTCTGACAATGTCAGTCCACCCCTCGAAACCTCAGTTAACACTTCTCTTAAATGATGTTCCTTTTACAGGGCTGGTGGACACTGGAGCTGACGTTACGGTGATTCGTGATCTGGAGTGGCTGGTTAGTTGGCCTACGGTTCCTTCTAGAGAATTGTGGGGGATCGGGGGTAGTAAACCCGGGCGCCAAAGTTTGTCTTGGGTCACGGTCTCTAAACCGGGAGGCCGTACCCTTGCTACTATCCGCCCTTTTGTGCTCCCTGTCCACCTCAATATTTGGGGCCGTGATTTACTTACAAAGTTAGACACCACCCTCGATATTAACATCTGATGGCCCCAAACCCTCCCTCACCCACCGTGCCCTCCGCATTACCCTTGGTATGGCAATCCTTAGAGCCCGTATGGATTGACCAGTGGCCCCTCCCTCTAGAAAAGCTAAAAGCACTTCATTCGCTTGTGCAGCAGCATTTGCATGCACAGCGATTGGAGAGCTCCACTAGTCCTTGGAACACCCCGGTGTTCGTTATTAAGAAAAAATCGGGTGCTTGGCGGCTGTTACATGACTTAAGGGAAATAAATAAACGCATCCAACCTATGGGCCCCTTGCAATTTGGCTTACCAAATCCAAATTTAATTCCTCAAACCGATCAACTTTGTGTGTTAGATTTAAAAGATTGTTTTTTCACCATCCCCCTTTGCCCTCAGAATTAGCTGCTGTTATTTTGGCCTTTCAACTTTTTGCTGATTGTCCCTTTAATTTAATTGTGGATACCCATTATGTTTATCAGGTAATTGATCATTTACCCCTTGCCCTCATTACCCCTCAGGTTGATGCAGACCTCCTTCGCCTGTTTTTGTCTTTGCAGCATCTTCTTGCCACTCATAATTTCCCTTACTTTGTTGCTCATATTCGCAGTCATACCCCTCTGCCTGGGCCACTCACTGAGGGCAATGCACGCGCCGATCGCGCGTTGCGTGGTCAGGTAAATTCCCTTTTTTCTGACCCCATTGAAAGCCATGCCTTTTTTCATCAGTCTGCCTCTGTTTTGGCCCGGCAGTTTCACATTCCTGCTGATCATGCACGTTCCATTGTTCGTTCCTGCCCCCCACTGTGCTGCTGCTGCTCCTACTTTTTCTTATGCCGTTAACCCCCGACGTACCGCAGCAAATCAGCTGTGGCAGATGGATGTAACTCATGTGCCACAATTTCGCCCCTATTCGTTTTTACATGTTTCCGTTGATACTTATTCAGGCTTCCTTTGGGCAACCCCACAACGTGGGGAAGCCACTAACAAAGTTATTTACCATTTGCTGGCCTGCTTTTCTGTTATGGGTCGCCCCTGCCAAATTAAAACAGATAATGCCCCAGCCTACTGCTCTGCAGCCCTCTCCACCTTTTGTGCCCGCTGGGACGTCCGTCTTACACACGGAATCCCTTATAATTCCACGGGCCAAGCCATTGTTGAACGTGCCAATCGCACACTCAAAACCTTGCTAGATAAACAATTAAAACAAGGGGAGCTGCGTCTCCGAACCTTAGGAGACATTCAACAACAAATGCATATCCTCTTGTTTACTTTAAATAATTTAACACTGAATGCAGATCAGCAGACCCCTGCGGATCGGCATTTTCACAAATCTGAGGTACTGGAAAGACCGCGTGTCTTTCACCGTCAGCTGCCCGATCCACAGTGGCTGGGCCCAGTACCTCTAATCACTTGGGGTCGGGGATATGCTGCTGTGTCTCTCCCTGCAGGACCGTTGTGGGTTCCAGCTCGGTGTGTGCGACCGGCACTTAAACAACATGGCATGGCACCAGGGGCTGTCGAATCCCATACCAGAGTTTCAGCTGACCTTGGAGGAGACCGCGTTGCCCCCCGAGTCGACAACGATGGGACGGAAACGGAGGAGGTGTAGTGTCCCAAACTGGCCCGTGACATGGGGAGCAGTAAAAGCATTGGTCGCCGCGGCCCAACGAAGACTGGCAGCAGATCAACAGCCAGAGACTCCTGAGACTTTGTTTGTGGCGATTCTCGCCCAAATCACTGCTAATTCTGTGATGATTGTGTGCCTTTTGTGCCTGCTATTTCCTGTAGGGGTTGGCTCGGAAGCGCTTCCCCCGTTACGAGCCCGAATGACATATAACATATGGGAAAGATTGGCTTCAATAGCAAATGTTACCCACTTTTGTTTATCTAATTCTGTAGCAGCCGGAGACTTGTTAGGTACATGCCTTATTCCAGTATGTCATCACCCTGAGGAGATGGAGAATAAGACACTGTTCTCTGCTTATGCGAATCTTTCCTCCCAGTACTCTAGCATGGCTAATTGGGGCCCGGCCAACTATACTCTGCCTCGCACGGCTATATCCCTCCACACACCGTACCCGGCCGGGGCTCACAATGTCACCTGTGCGCGTGTAGTTAACTGCACTAGTACAAAGGTGCCCTTGGGCTGTCGAAAAATTTCTTAACCCCTTTTAAATTGTTCCCATGCTGTTAATGTTTCATATAATTATGGCCATATCATCCTACCATCAGGATGGTTTTTTACTTGCGGTTCACGCACCTTTAATTATATTTCTGCAAATTTAAGTGATGGCACCCTTTGCTGTCTTAGTAGAATGACACTTATATTGCCTTTTGCTGGCCACATCCGTAGTAAAAGAAGTGTACCCCTTTCAGATGATTGTATTGCAGATGTTGAGCTTTTTGGTTATTCTGTGTTTGTAATCATTGGGCTTATTTTTTGCTGCTGCTGTGTACAATGTATTCCTTCCTTGTTAAGACTTTGTAAAATTTCGCCCTGGAAAGCTCCCCAGGTTATGTCCTTGTCTGTCTGGGAGTTAAATAGCATGACAAAACAAATTGACGGCTACCATGAGATGGCCAAATATCATTAAATAAAAAACGGGGGGATGAAGAGTTCATGTTTAGCTATTCCACCTGGAAGCAGGCAGGGCACACCCTGACTGTTTTGTAGAAGCAATGCACACATTGCTCTATCCAAGGACAAGGGCTAGATATGAACCATGAGAACTTGATTGTTTGGACAGTAACTGTGGGAGGCTTTCTTAGCCTGGGCTCAAGGCCTGAGAACCAGGATTGTAGTAGATAAAGGATGGTAACTAAGTATATTAATCAACGTCATACATTCCTTTGTGTAGCAGTGTGTAATGCTTAGGGGGAGAAATATAATAAAAGGGGAAGGTGGAAGGCGGGGGGGCAGAACAGCCCATCTCCGCTGACCAGCCTGCTTGCTTGCATAAAGCTGTGTTCTGTCTGATCATTGAACCGCCACACATTTCCCCTTTAAGTACGCTGACCCCACTTTTAAGTACACTGCCTTGTTAAGTTAATCAGCAAGCTGAGACTGCAGCTGTTGCCAGGAAGCTCCCTCCGTCCTGAGCCCTGTTGTGTGTCCCCCCCTACTGCTCGATGGAGATGGGGTAAATGGGATGCAGGAGCAGGGGGGAGGGGACACCCTGACATTAGCCCCCTTCTCCTCCCCACCACCCCCGCCCCTCCCCAGCAAGCAGGAGGCTCTGGAGAGCAACTCCAAGGCAGAGGGCAGGAGCAGCACATGGCAGAGGCGGGAGGGACAGCTGAACTGCTGGCAATTTATAGCTTACTGGGTGGCTGCTGCCCAGGGGACTTAGGGCAGCGGGGAGGTGATGGGGGGCTGCTGGTCCACCCTGGTTTCAAGCCCCCACCAGCTAGCTGCAATGGGCTGCTCTTCCTGCAAGCAGTGGAGAAAGCAGGAGGCTGCCAAACGACATTATAAGGGAGCATTGTGCATCTTTAAATGAGCATGTTCCCTAATAGATCAGCAACGTAACAATGAAACAACGTTAACCGGGACAACTTTAAGAGAGGAGTTACTGTAGTTTGTTTTGTCTTTGCATTGACCTGCTCTGTGCAAGTGGATTGGCTGACACCCAATTGGGGGAAGATGAGAGAGGGGCTTCCCCATAGCAGTTCATCTGGCCAGAAGAAGGTGTTTAGGGTGATCCACCACTGAACACAGGGCCACAGCCCAGGCTCGAAATGTCTGATACTTAAATCTGAAACACTATGAATTAACAAAAAGAAAAGGAGGACTTGTGGCACCTTAGAGACGAACAAATTTATCTAAGCATAAGCTTTCGTGAGCTACAACTCACTTCATCAGAGCTGTAGCTCATGAAAGCTTATGCTCAAATAAATTTGTTAGCCTCTAAGGTGCCACAAGTACTCCTTTTCTTTTTGCGAATACAGACTAACACGGCTGCTACTCTGAAACCTGTCACAATGAATTAAACAACTTTTGGAGTTAGGAAAAACTTGTGTGGAGACACCAGACAGCTCTCTAAGCTCAGGAGTATGGGAAGGACTAAGAGGAACAGTTGAAGTAGTGACCTTGCCCATATGGAACATACTAAGCGCCTGTTGGTAGGCACTGAACAATGACTGAAAAGATCTAAAAGTTCTGAAGAAGAAGAAGAGCCAACACCCTATTTGGTTGAGGTCGTACAAAGAAGGGAAGCTACTTTGACCTAATTATGGAGGTGTACACACTGCAATGCTCCTCCCGCTGCTTTAGCTTGCCTGCTACGCCGAGATAATAAATCCACCTCAATGAGAGGCTTAGAACTTAGGGTGATGTAGTTAGAGCAACACAGTATCTGTTTCAGAGTAACAGCCGTGTTAGTCTGTATTCGCAAAAAGAAAAGGAGTACTTGTGGCACCTTAGCGACTAACCAATTTATTTGAGCATAAGCTTTTGTGAGCTACAGCTCACTTCATTGGATGCATACTGTGGAAAATACAGAGGATGTTTTTATACACACAAACCATGAAAAAAATGGGTGTTTATCACTACAAAAGATTTTCTCTCCCCCCGACCCCCTACTCTCCTGCTGGTAATAGCTTATCTAAAGTGATCACTCTCCTTATAATGTGTATGATAATCAAGGTGGGCCATTTCCAGCACAAATCCAGGGTTTAACAAGAACGTCTGAAGAACAGTGGGCGGGGGGGAAAGGAATAAGCAAGGGGAAATAGGTTACTTTTTATAATGACTCAACCATTCCCAGTCTCTATTCAAGCCTAAATTAATTGTCTCCAATTTGCAAATTAATTCCAATTCAGCAGTCTCTCGTTGGAGTCTGTTCTCGAATTTTTTTTGTTGAAGGATAGTAACTTTGAGATCAGAAATCGAGTGACCAGAGAGATTGAAGTGTTCTCCAACTGGTTTTTGAATGTTATAATTCTTGACATCTGACTGTGTCTATTTATTCTTTTACGTAGAGACTGTCCAGTATGCCCAATGTACATGGCAGAGGGGCATTGCTGGCACATGATGGCATATATCACATTGGTGGATGTGCAGGTGAACGAGCCTTTGATAGTGTGGCTGATGTGATTAGGCCCTGTGATGGTGTCCCCTGAATAGATATGTGGGCACAGTTGGCAACGGGCTTTGTTGCAAGGACAGGTTCCTGGGTTAGTGGTTCTGTTGTGTGGTATGTGGTAGACACTGCATTGCTTATATCACCCTAAGTGGCCTCCAGCAGGTATCCCACAATGCCCACCATGACCGCTTTGGTCACCATTTTGAACTCTGCTCTCCTGAAGCCAGGTACACAGGGCTGTGCCCCTCCCCTGTTAAAGTGCCAGGAAATTTTGAACTTGCTCTTGCCCTTTGCTCGGTGTGGAGAGCTGACATCACTACTGCCCAGCTGAGCATGGGGGCTCCACGCAGCAAACACGTTCCCGCCTGGTGTACACGGGAGGTGGTGGGTCTCCTCGGTGTGTGGGGAGAGGAGGCGGAGCAGGCACAGGTCCGCTCCAGCCACAGAAAGTGACTCCGGGCGTGGAGGAGAAGGGCCGTGACGGCGAAACGCAGCAGAGCAGAGTAAAAATAAAACAGCTGCGGCAGGCTCAGTAGACAGCCCGGGAGGCCAATAGCTGCTTCTGGAGCAGCTCCACAGATCTGCTGCTTTACAAGATGGGGTGTGGGGTCAGGGTGGTGGTGAATAGCCCCTCCATTGAGCTCATCTTAGAGCCCTATGTTCATAACGTAAAGCACAATACTGAACAGCAGCGCAAGACCCATAATTTCTGACACGGATGGATGGCTCGCAGGTTCCCAGGGAAGTTGAAAAGCGGCTGGAAACCTAGTAGCATGCCCATGGAATGACGGCGATTGAGAAACCTGCATCATGTGACACCGAGACTACCCAGCTGAGGCATTGCAAACCCTTCCCAAAACACCCTGTGCCCAGTTGCACAGTGGGATAGCTACCCACTGTTTGCTGTCCTCTACGCTGTTGCAAGACCTGGTACTGTGGATGTGCTCTGCCAACACAAGGAGCATAGTGTGGAAATGCAAGAGCAGTATATTTACAGCAGTGGCTGTTTGTCAACGTAACTTAAGTTGACTTAGCTTTGTAATGCAGACATGGCCTTAGGTGCCACGCTCACAGTGATTTCAGGAGGCGTTAGGCACCGAAGGAGCTGTGTGAACTTGGGCCACAATGGTTGGTAAATAAGGGATGGAGCAGAAAGGAAAAGCAGAAGGCTGGTATTATGATGCAGAATGATTTTAATGTGAGTAAGAAGAGCAGTACACAGCACGAGACAGAAAGAGGATATATTTCAAGGGTTTCAAGAAGGTCTGCAATGAATCACTGGCTCCAAGGTGATGCATTTCACAGGAGAAGTTCCTCGTTCTTCAATGCAGCTGTAGAGTTTGACAATCAAGGCCTGTTTGTAACTATTTTAAGGTATTTGTTTCATCCCAGTCAGAATCAAACAAGACAAAGCACAATTTAAGGAAAGAGGTAATCTGCTTATACAACTTTTATAGCACTGTTGAAACCAGAAACAAATGGCACATATTCATGAAAGGACTAGAACACGTAGGGCTTG